ACAAGAGCATGCTTCTCAGGATTCCCCTTGGACTTGTCATGAGGGGCTCCTTTGTTCTTCTCGGCAGTAAGGGAAGGAGATTTCTTAGATCTTTCATCGGGAGCTTTTCTTTTCTTGCTCGTCGAGTTAGTAGCGCCCTTGGCACCCCGGTTTAAAACCGAGAGCCAGCTAGGTTGGTCGTCCTTTTCACCTTGCTGCTCGCCTTGTTGTTGGTCTCCCATATCAGGAACTACAAAACAAAGCAGAAATTGGGTCATAAAATGCAATATACAAGCAGTATAAATGTAGAAATAAACATACTTAATTCGGCATCAAGCTCCTCTTGAGACTTATAAATGAGGGATGCAACACTGGCATGTTTGTATGACTGCAAATATGTGCCAATGGCAATGGCACAATTGATATTGGCAGGGCTTAACTCCGACTCGTTGAAGCGATAGCTTGAAGGTGGAAATTGGAAATAGTCAGATGACCAACATAAGGGAAACTTTCCCTCCACATCCTCGGTACCACGGGTATGGAGAAACCATACCTCTTTACCGGGGTGTGCCGAAACTTTAAAGAACTGGTCTTTAAACTTTTTAAAAGACTCAGTATAAACCCGAAAAAGTCTACAACCCGGAACACCCCGGATGGTAACCCAACCCTTTCTTTCTGGTAGTTCACGATCGGTTCGACACGAAACAACTTGGAAAAAGTAAAAAAAGACACGAACAGAAGGCTGAAGAGCAAGGTATGCACAAAAATGCTCAAATGCCTTAACAAAACCCCAGCCATTAGGATGAAGCTGGGTGGGTGATATATGGAGATGATTGAGAATGTCCATTTGGAACTCGGTCAAAGGAAATCGAATTCCAAGTTGAGTCACGACATCATGATAGAAGAAAAAGAAACAAGGGTTTTCTTCTGCTCCCCCAGAGCAAACCGACTCATCTTCTCGGGGAGGGGCTATATCGTAGTTATCCAACTGCCCAACGGGAAGACCGGCCACATCATCCGAACTCATCTCGGATGTGGTATTTAAAACCTCGAAAGTTACCCACGGAAATCGAGATACTAACGAGGCTGAAGGAGACTCAAAACATGACTCGGCAGAGCTCGAATCATCAACAGCTTCTTGAGGAGAAAATGCCATAAACCCTAAAATAAGGGAAAAGCTGGATCAGAAAGGAATCAGCAAACCTGAATCAAAAATGCTATCAGAAGAATCACTAGAAGAAGACAAAGTTGGCAAATCAGAGATCATGATGGGATCATCTACTCCACCAGATGCGGAGGTAAATCCCGGAATATCTCCATGACGGCAGCTCGCCAAAGTAGACTTGGCTAAAGAGTCACATCCTTGCTCGACAAGCTTAGAACTCAAGTAGACACAAGAGTAGCATGGGACACTCCTGGGGGCAGGGGAAGGATGAGAGAAAGCCTGGATGGTGGAAAGAGAACTTGAAGGAGTCATAGGCTGGCTAATCGGCTCAGCCCCTGGTTGGGGAAACAGATGTGAAGCACGTCTGTTTCTGGTAAGACGACCCCTAGCCCGGTTAGATGAACCTCTACCCTGGTGGTGCTCTAACTCCCTATTGGACATCCCGGCACTTCTCCGAGATCTACCACCATGGTAACCGCGAAGCATGACTTCCCGTTCCTCTTCCTCGGTCCTAGGAATCCCCCAGAGCCAAAAGCGGGCACCAGGAGGAATCTTTTTTGAAAAAATCAGAATCCTCCCCCTTCTCCCCCTTACAACACAAAGCTGAAGAAGGAGGGTTTCCCCCCTCATTTGGTTAAAAACTAAAAATTGCTAGGATAGCACAGGTGGGAACAAGAAAGACAAGGTGATAAACCAGAATGACAAGAAGGAATGCACAAGCTCTGGAAAGTGCAAACTATGGTGAAAATAACAGAAAATCAACATATGCAGGGCAAACAACTCAAAATTGAAAAAGCATGCTAGCGAACAAATGGCCAAATGCAAGCACTTTAAAACAGAGGCAACAAAAGGTAGAAGATAAGCGAAATACCTGACGAAAGAGGTGAAATAGCAAGAGATGGAGAAATGTGTTTGACGCTGATACTCTAAGAAATACACAGGCACAATGCTCAGAAAGGAAACAAAAGCACGTAATGTGAGATGGAGACTTATATAGGCATGGCTAGTGCTCATGGGCTTTGCGAATAGCAAAGGTCAGGGTCACTCAGGTCTTTGCAGGAGTAAATAATAACTGCAGCAATCGTGGAAGGTAACCGCAATCATCATAAGTGGAAATCACAGCACGCAGAAAGCCAAGAGGTAGGGTCATTATTGCCAATTCAATTCAAAAGAAATGATTAGACAACTGAAACGATGCTGCAATAAATGCGCACGAAACGCGAAAACGTCATAGAACGACTGCGACACACTAAAGCACGCGGGCTGTAGCACGTAGCAGAACGAAATGAGTACAACTCATGAACCAACAGGAAAGACAGGATATATACATATGCAACCATTAACCGGGTTAGACACCTGACGCTTGAGGGCAATTCACCAGGTGAACCACGACTACTAAAGCGCATCTGTTACCCGGCTACTGCGTGAACTATCTCGTCGGGTTCATGCAAAACCCGACGACCAAGTAACTAAAGGCATAAAGTCATACTCCAGTTAAGGTATGATGCTTGAGGGCAACCTGCTAGTTGAATTCTGAACACTTAAGCAGATCCTCAACCCGGAGTAGGAACACGGTTGATGCTAGGGGTGTTAACGGGCCAAGCCGATCCGAGCTTTGGACTTAAAAGGCTAAGCCTGTGTTTAAATGTGTCAGCCTGATCAAGCCTGTTACCTTTTATAAATACTATTATAGGCCTGTGGCCTGGCTTATTTACAAAAAGTAAAAGCCTGGTTTAGCCTGTTTAAAAAAAATAAAATAACAAAAAATTTATCCAAACAAAATATACAATCAACAACACTAGTAATTTCATAAATATCAAATTCAATATATATCCAAACAGCATAATATAGAATAAAATCATTTTAAAAGTCTATTTAACCAATAAAATGGGGTGAAATGGATTGAGGAGAAAGAGAGGTTATTTCAAGTAGTATAAAAAATATAAAAAAAATAATAATAATATAAGAGGCCAGCCTGAGAGGCTCTAAGGCCGAGCTTTTGAATTGGAGTCTGAGGCCTTTTTATTAAACGAGCTTTTATACAAGTTCAAGCCTGGTGTGAACAACCAATTTAGACATGTAAGCTCAGACCTTCACGAGCCGAGCCAAAGGCCCTTGACTCATTTAGCACCCTTAGTTGATGCTCAACCTGCCGATATAAGGAACGAGGAAAAATCATCCTTGCATAAGCCACGAACTCGGAATAAGCATAAAACGCTGATATTGAGGGACAACTCGCCAGTTGGATCCCAACGGCTCAAAGCAAACCCTCAATCCAAAAAAAAAGGGGATATGAGAAATATCTCACCGGGTTTATGCTCAGCCCGCCGACATAAGGGGCAAGGGATACCCCCATATGGAAAAAACTCGAAAAACGAAAAACATTGCAAAAGTTTGAAAGTTGGCAAGAACGCAAACTTGCCAGTTTTATGAGAAAGAATATATTGAAAGGAGTAGTGTTTTCCCTTCCACGTAGCGTCTAAAATATGAATTCTTCCCAGAATGCAAAAGTGTACACTTGTCACCATATTTACTCATATTTAATCAATGTCCCTCACCTTCCTGTATGAGCAAGTGAATAATCATTTGCTGAGTCACGGATATTTTAGTTTAAATAATTAGATCGTATCACTTAATTCCTTTTTCTTAAAGAAATAAAAATAAACTTGACATTGTTTTCTGCCGTGAAAGCAACATTTCTCTCGAAGAATTTCCATTTAGCACTTAAATAAGTCCTACTTTGAATGCAAAAATTCATTACATATTTAAGTTACTATATTCCTTTAATATCATGTTCTCATGTTGCATAATTTTTCTTCAATTAGACAAATATGTATTTGTTTATGAAGGAAAAAAACTTTATGTAAACTAAGTTTATCCCTAAATTTATTAAGGTTATATTCATCCTTGAGTTTTAGTGGATTAAGATCATGATAAGCTTTAAATTGAATCAAGAGTGGATATATTCTAACGTTTATTTTAAAAAAGATTCATTTTAAGAAGTTATTTCTTATTTGAATTTCAACAAAACTATTTATCCCCATTAATCTATATATATATATATATATATATATATATATATATATATATAAAGGGTTTAATTTTTTTATAGTATATAAGATAAATTTTATTTTCTATATACACATAAAAATATGTGTAATTTATGTGGGACAATGTGAGAAAAAGAAAAAAATATAAATTTCACACACTTTTATATATATATATATATATATATATATATAAAAGATAAATTTATCTCTTATAACATGAGAAATATTTAAACTCAAATGTTTTTCAACTTGTTAATACTTTTAAAGAATTACAGTTTCGTAAACCTTAACTATTATTATTTTTTCTCATAAAGGAAATGCACCTATTTATCAAGATTTGTTGCGAAAAAATAGTAGCTTCACGAGCAGCAAGTTTATGAATCTAAAATTTCTCATTTATTATGCAATTTTTACAATAAAATTTATAGTTTTATAGTTGGGATTTTATGCCGTCGTTTTGAAAGTGCAAACAATCCAAATCCATTTGTTTTACACAATAAATGAGGATTCATTTCAAATGTGAATCTTGCAGCATTCACTTTTCATTAGTGAGATGTACACACATAAAACAACTTCATAACAAGTGGTAGATATATTTTTCATTACATGTTAATGGGGTTATGTTGTGGACAGCAACATCATGGAATATCAATCACATAAAAGAAATAAAAAAATTTCCAAACCAATTTTTTTTTTTTTGGAAACTTATCCAAATCAAACTTTTTTTTTTGATACATTGGAAATTGAACACAACATCTACTGTCCACTACCCACCCCTCACCACTAGCCTATAGCTTTTTGGTACAACATGATTCATGTGGCCGATTGAGCCTGCTGCAGCCAAATAATGTCATCCGAACAAAACTAACTTTCATACTAAATGGTTCAATTCCCATTGGAAACTTTCATAGTTCACATTAATTCATAGGATGTGTCCATGCCACCACCTCCTTGTCTAGCCGAAAACCAAGACCAAAACTGCATTTTGTCCCTTTCTACTTTTGGAATCTAATAAGCCAAAGAATCCCCCAAGTATTTACACAAATGCACTTCCATTTTTCACAGATCCTTCTCATTCCCGGAACCCGAACCCGTTTTGCTGACCCGGATACCCGAACCCAAACGGGTCATCCGAGCCAGAAAACAATCGCTGTGTGAACACATTCGGATTCTGCTGATAAAACCCGGAATTCTGAGCAACCGGGTTGGTCCTCACACCACTCTGAACCTCCTCCTCCATTGAGTTACGGGGCAACGCCACCGTGTTGGTGTTCCCAAACGGTGGCATAGAAGGGACAAATAGGTCATTACCACCATAATTCACCATCCCCTGAGTTTGGCTATCCGAAACAAACTCGGGTACCAAGTCCAAACCCGTCGGGTTAACCCAGTCAGAGAAAATTCCGTTACCCATGTTCTGAAAACTGAACTTGTCGTCCTGCTGCAGCGTTCTGAGCGAGTTCACGCGCGGCAGGGCAAAACACCGGTCATCAATTTCCGGCAGGGCAAAGCACCGGTCATCGTCGATGTGGGACGACGAAGAAGGTGACGATCCATTGCTGTATTCTTTGCCGGAAAAGCTTTGCACATTCTTCTGCGAGCTCGAGTGCTTCTTGTATATCCGACAGAGAACCCAATCATCGAGCTGCATCATCACACAATTTAGTAAAAAAAAAAACAAATAATTAATTAAAAAAATAAAAATAAAAAACAGAGCGTGGGGAATATAATTTGTGTACCTTCGAGCTACCATTGTTGTTCCTTCTCGAAGAATCTAGAAGGCGATACTCGTGCATGATCCAATTGGTTTTGGTGCCTTTGGGTGCTTTACCAACGTAGAAAACAAGTGCTTTTTTTATGCCAACTTTTTTACCTTCAGTGGTGATGATTTTGTCAGTTCCGGTGGCTTTCCAGTACCCAGAGCCAGCAACTCTATTGGGTCGTGAACCATTTGGGTATTTCCTGTCTCTGGGGCTGAAAAAGTACCATTCTTTTTCACCAAAAATGGCCTTGCCTGCAACAACAACAACAACAACCATAACCAGACCCAATTAGAACCAAGAAATAAAAAAAAAAGTGAAATATTATTTATCAACAGAAAAACTAAGTGAATTGAATAATTAATTACCTGGAAGATCCCAGGGATCGAACTTGTACAAGTCAATTTCTGCAATGATTGGCAGAGAAAAATGGTGCCCTGCAACCTTGCGGCATAAGTACTGAACCAGAAGCTCCTCATCGGTAGGGTAAAACCTAAAACCAGGAGGTAAACTCAATTGAGCTAGAGGGTCCTTCTCTGGAACTCCCATTCTGCTCAAACAATGAACAAAGATCGATGATGATGATGATTATGATAAACAAGAAGAAAGAAAAAAAAAACCTTTTTCTTTGATTTCCTCTTCTTCTTCTTTTTTTCAATTGACGGAAGACATTGCGTTTATTTATACTGGGACAGAGGTCGAGACTATTGCCGTAATCTTTGTCGCACTGCTTGATGGTGGGATCAACTAAAGTTTTCAGCCTCTGAGAATCTGCCACGTCTCCGTTTTAAAAAAGAATCATTATGCGGACGACCTTATCTGCTTACGGTACGGTCCATGCCATTCGGCGGATTCGGTTCAGTGTATGTAACTGTTCACACTTCACAAGAAACACAGAAACTTTTTCCACAAAAAACAGAAAAATACATTCAATTTTATTATAAAAAATGTAAATGCATATATTATATATTATATATATATATATATATATATTATTAGTCTTTAAAATTTTTATCCAAATTAAAAGAAATCATAAATATTGATTATAATAATTTTTCATAAATATTAATTTATCAGATGCATTAAGACTGTTATTATTCATATATCATTATACATTCAATTTGTTATAGTGCATTAAATATTCTTAATACATTCAATTTTTTTTTAATTTTTTATCCAAATTAGCATTATATATATATATATATATATATATATATATATATGAGTTTGATTTTCACATGTTGCATAAGAATTGAATTCTCTTTGTTATGACTCAACTAGTGGTGAGTCTCATATTTATTAAAATAAAAAAAAAAAAAATTACACACATATCTAAATATCACAACATAAAAATTAAATTCTCATAATACAAAAGAAGAAAATGTTTTTTAATATATATATATATATATATATATATATATATATTTATATAGTATCTGTGTCATGAACTTTTTTGAGAACAAATAATTGAAATGAGTCACGGAGATAAGGCAAACACGTGTCGCTCTATGAGAAAAGTGAGAACAACAAGGTTTCTCTCTCTTTCTTTTTTCTTACGGCGAGTGTTTTCTAAAATTCTGTTCATGGTCATTTTTCACGTGTGGGTTTTCAAAAGACGGTGACCACGTGTCCAAGAGCGAAAGTGAGAGTCAAGAAAAAAATTTCTTCTGCGCCTGAAATTTTTTTAAAAATATAAATTTGAAAAAGTAAATAAAAAATATTTGTTTTAAAATCTAGTATTATAAAACATGAATATGATCATATATATATTCAAGGTTTCAAAAATAATACAACCAACAATTTTGATTTCACGATATAAATTTTAATGAAACAAAATTGACATTTTAAATCTTTTTTTAATCACATTTTAAGATCAAATTTAATTAGTATATTAATGGCTGTAATGATTCTATAGTAAATGGAGATAAGTTATTTATATTTGTTCCCAAAATAACGTCATTTTAGATTAAAAATTAAAAAATTATAATGAAAAAGACTATTATAACCTTGAAATAAATAATAATTACAAAAATACTTTACTTTCGACATCAAAACGATGTCGTTTTGGGTTTAATGTAGATAAGTTATCTACATTGACTGCAGAAAAAATAAACTCAATTATTGTAGAAATTTCTTATGTCATTTATTTTAAATGACATAAACTTATGTTATATTAAGTGAAACTACTATATTTTTTTGTAGTGTTTTATATTCTATCTTCTGAGAGAGAATGTAAAAAGTAACCAAAATAGAGTAGTTTCACTTAAAATAACACAAGTTTGTGTCATTTACAAATAATATATATTCAACTCATTAATATATTATGGAATTAATATTTCTTATATTATAAGAAATAATTTTATGTCATATATATATATAAAAGTATGTGCAACTCGATGAATCCATGCTTGAATAAAAAATAAAAAGGAATTGCACATATTTTTATGGATGTAAGAGATAAAATTTCAATCTCGTATATTATATGGAAAATATTACTCTTTTTTTATGTAAGATATTTTTTCTCATATTTTCTCATTTCAATTTTTACATCTCATTTTTTTTTATTGTAATGGTGAAATCTCTCTATTTTCTCTCTACTAAGGTAATTATTTTATGTAGACTAATAAAGCACGTATTATATATTACATAAGGGATATATTTTTCTTATGTTGTAGGAAAAGAATTATCTCATGTTGTAGAAATAAAAGTATAAGTGGGACCCACATGTAAGAGGAGAGAGAAAAAAAAAGTGGTGGGACCCAACCCCTTTTTGTGTGTGTAGGAGAGATGTTTATCTCATGTAAAATGAGATAAACATAACCCATTACATAATCATTTCGCAAGCGATTCTGTCACAGAAGAGAAGATGGAAGTCGAAAGGCAAAGCAATAAATAAGATTGTGCGGTCAAAGGCTTCGTTGGGCGACGCGTGGTGCTTTGAAATATACGTCCTTTATCTACTTCATCCACTTTTTTGGGTTTTGCTCCTTTCTTTTCTGAGTTGCTTAGGTTTTTCTTTCACTCCTCAACCTCTACGAGCACGCTTACATGTACCAATTATGTTGGTTTCGGGTAGTTTTCATAAAAAGGAAAGGTGGTGACGTGGTGGGTCAAGGTCAAAATTATGGAAGTGGAGGGATTCACTGAACTGTTCTCCCTCGATTTATGACGTTTTAGAGTTGTGTGAACGTGGACAACTTTAGGTTAGAGATAGGAGAAATGAAACAACGAGACCGGCGTGCCTTGGCTTTGTTACGTTGTAGTCACAATCCGAATTTGAAAGGAAAGATAGCTTAAAAAACAAAATAAAATATCTCACCATATATTGGGATTTGAGATTACGTAAATTGGTGCTATGGCTTGTGTGCATTTTGTTATCGAGAGGACGTTGTATTATTTAAGAAAATTACATTTTCTTTCTTTAAGATTAACACTTTTTATATCCGAATCTCTCTTGTTCCAAAAACAACATAAATTAACCCTTCTTAATTTATCTATTCTTTCTTATACTTTTTACCCTCATAATATATAAGGGTATGGTCAACTGATCACTATTCACTTATTAGGCTTAATGGTTCAAGTATTTCTCTCTTATTGCATGAAATGGTTATTATTCAAAATATTAAATATAAAATTATTAATGTAACTATTACTTATCAACTTAAGTTGTTAGATTAAATTTGTTACATTACATAGTATTAGAATTCGTGATCAAGTGATTATGCACTTCAATTTTACCACTTTTTAATAAAATCAAAAAATAATTAAAAAAACACGAGATAGAGAGGGGGGGGGGGGGGGGGGGGGGGGGGACACGTGCACTTTTTAATATAAAATCATATAAATCATTTAATGTAATCGTCACTTATATCAACTTAAGTTTCTAGATTGAATTCACTCGATAACTATTTTGTTCCTTTTACATTAATTAATGAAATAAACTGTTGAAGAATTTATTAGATTCAAACCCAGAGGTTGAGTGTATATACTTGGACTGATGTACAAGACCAAATATGATACATAAATAAAATAAAATCTGAATATTCTTTAACAGCTTGATAATAGTAAATTTTCAATCGATGCAAACGGGAATTTATTTACCGCAAAATCAAAGTAGATTTTTTCAAACGTGCATTCATGTTTGTGCCACTAGGCAAAACAAATAAGCTGCAAATATGGTTGACTTTTGATGGGTTTGTAAAATTTTATCGTTTATGAAAATTTGGTCATATCCAATCTCAATTTTCTGGTTGTAGTCAAAAACATTTTATAATATCTTGTGATAGGGAGAAGTTGACATTTGACAGGAAATGAATCCTATTCCGAGGACACGAAATTGTAGTTTTTGAAAAAAATAAAAAATTTGCATAAATATATTGTATAACTTCTCAAAGTAAATCTCATAATGTCACGCAATAATAGGACATCTGCAATAATATAATAGGAAACAATCTTGACCATGCTAGCTATCGTGATTTTGCCATGTGCTGTGGTTTAGCGAAATCTCTTGCTACAAATGGCAAGTGAATGCTTGTTTTAAGGAAACCCTCCCCAAAAGAGAAACAGGAACTAGCAATCGAGTCATATATTTATTTGATGTAGATTTGGATTATTTATTAGTAAAAGATGAATCTAGTAAGCAGGGGAACCTGGTCAAATACTCCTGGAGCAGCACTAATGTATTTTATCAATAAAAGGAATAAAAAAGGGTAAATTTATTCGGCAACGCAATCAAACTGGCTTCGGGTTTAACCGCTTTTAAACCGATCAGTTTATAGGTTCAACAGTTTTTTGAAATTCTGTGAAAAACATTTAAAGAAATCGGTATAGATGGGAATTGCACCTGTCACTAGAGTAAGCATTAACCATTAATCACCAAGCCATAACTGCTACATTGTCAAAATGCTTCTTTTTTTATATTTAATATATAAATTTTATTCACATTCAATTCAATTGGTTGAACCATTATGACTCACTAATTAAAGATATAATCTATTAACCATTACTATGATCAAATCGATTACGTTTAAAGATATAATTTATTGGAAAAGAACTGCACTCAGGAGTTACTAGCATCTTCTCCGGCATAATTAACAATTATGGAGTAGAATGTTTTGTTCTCTCCTATTTAGTTGTTAGGAGATAATATTATCTTGGTCAATCAATCGGACTAGCAAATTGCAAGACACCCTAACTTCGAGGGTTGGCACAATTGTTAAGTGTATTGTGCCTAAGGAGCATACTAACGGGGTTGAGAAGTCTTCGGTTCAATTACTAGGACAAATAATTTGGGATAATTAGGGCTCCATTTGGAGCACCTGATAAGAAAGATAGGATAGGATAATTATCTTATCCTCTTTTAATCAATTGTTTGGTGAGGATACTATTATCTTATCAGGCTGCTTATCTGGGACACATCAAACACATGATAAGATATAAGCTTATCAGACTCATATCCTATCTTACCATTATCGAACTCACTTATCCTATCCATCCTTATCCTAGCATGCGTATCAAACGAGCCCTTAAGTGACAAAAAACTTCATGCT